AAATTCAAGGTAAATGCTAAATATCGCAAAACATGTGTCGTTAAATTACTGAATTGCAGCGTAGCCCGCTCAAAACAATACCTGGATTCAGTCTCTTAATAAATCGATGATTAATTTTGAAAATTAATTGATTAACCCCTTACTCAACGAAATTTTTATTTTATATTATATAAATTGTTGGCAGTAAACAATTTATATTTGTTTAATATATTTATATTTATTTAATATATTTATATTTATTTAATATATTTATATTTATTTAATATAAATTAAGTATTTGAGATGTCACGCATACATGACTCTCACTGAGAATGGCTAAAATATATCGGAATATATACAAAATGAAAGCCAGAATCAAATCTAATCTGCTAATCTAATATCTGCTAATTATGAGTTGAATAAGACTAACTCTACACAGAGAACCACATACCTACTGTTACTATTATTATACTACTAAAGATATATTACAACGAATGATAATTTTCTCTGATATGATATTAACTTTTTGGCATATTTTGGCACATGTTTTAAGGTAAGAGAAGCAGCGACCGGTTGTGCAAGGATACGGGGCGATACGTTGGGTATTGTTGGTCTTGGTAGAATCGGTTCCGCAGTTGCGCTGCGTGCCAAAGCTTTTGGCTTCACTGTCATCTTCTACGATCCTTATTTGCCGGATGGTATTGAGAAGTCATTAGGTCTCACCAGGGTTTACACATTACAGGTTTGTAGCTTTACTTGTGTTTATCATTAAGTCATAAATAAGACCTTTTTTTATTATTTTTACATAATTGAAAATATAAATATTTAGAATATTATTTTCAAATTTTTCTTATTCTTAACTAAAGTGCAAATTCCTTGAACATTTAAATAATGATTGATAATTATTTAATTGATTTTGTTTAAAGATTGATTTTGGATATTGGAAAACATTTTTAATATATTTTAAAGTAAATAAAAAAATTTTTTATTATATATATAGTATTGCATAAATTTCTCAATTATAAAATTTTTTGTGACTATTTTTTAATTGATATTATTTTTTATTATGTTGCAGGATTTGCTATTCCAATCAGATTGTGTATCTCTGCATTGTACCTTGAACGAACACAATCATCATCTAATAAACGAATATACTATTAAACAGGTATATAAAAAATTAGAAGAAATATAAAAATATTTAATATATAGATATAAAGATGCTTAATTTAAACAATTTTTGTAATACTTTAATTATACAACAAAAATTAATATCAATATAAATATCAATTGATTTGTTACAAATGAGTTTCGGACATGATGAGTTTCGTTATTTTTAGACAATTATTTTTTATTTATTAATTATTTATTTATTTTTATTTTACTCTATTGAGGTGCATAGAAACATTATATCTAAAAAGATATAATGTATATTCCAATTTTTTCTTAATATTGAGAAATCTATCACAATATAATTATATATAACGTTTTATTTAAATTGTAATAAGAGATATATAGCTATACCTAGTAATAATAGTTTTTTAACAATTTTAATAACAAATAATATTTCATGTTTATTCATGTTTATGTTAATAATTTATGTAATTCATGTTTATATTACAAGAGTCACATTATATGTTTATCTTAGATGAGACCAGGAGCATTTTTAGTCAATACAGCGCGAGGTGGTTTAGTGGATGACGACGCACTAGCCGCGGCGCTCAAACAGGGTAGAATCCGCGCGGCAGCGTTAGACGTCCATGAAAATGAGCCATACAACGTCTTTCAGGGTCAGTCTGCGAATCAGTGTGAGTCTTATCTGCCCCCGTGCCTAACCCTGTCTCAACTATCTTTAACCCTCCTAAATTCCTTTCAGCTTATAAGATAAAAAAAAAGAGATAAAGACATAGGCTTTTTCATAAATGTAGAGATGCATAATGAAGACGTATATTTTATAGTGAAAATGATAACATATAACGTATATAACATTTTTATTTTAACTGTATACATATTTACAAAATGAATAAAACAGTTTTATTATATGCAATAATTAAAAATAATACAAATTGATTTAATTATTCTTTTTCTTCTTTTATGCAATTCTTTTTATATCTTATATTTTATCTAAAATATCCAAGAATGTATTCCATATATTATATTTTAATTATTTTATAAGAAACTTAATTTCATAATAAAAAATAGTAATTAATTAATTTTCACTGTATCATATATGTTTTCTAAAAATCCATTTGGCATTAATTTCCCATATATATCTGATTTTCTTGATCGTCGATTTGCGATGTGTATTGTATAGGTCCATTGAAAGATGCACCCAATCTTTTGTGCACTCCACACGCCGCTTTCTACAGTGATGCGAGCTGCACCGAGCTGCGCGAGATGGCGGCAAGCGAGATACGACGGGCGATCGTCGGACGCATACCCGACTGCCTGCGCAACTGCGTGAACAAGGAATACTTCCTTTCCTCGACTGGGTAAGCGCCCTTAGCCAGGCTTTGTTTGCCTGTCGCCCCCTGCCTCTTGATTCGAGAATAATGATAAAGTCTGTCTTACAATTTGTTGAATGAAAAGAAAAAGGCGGATATTTTTATATATATATATACACATTGCATACATACATTCATATATATATATATATATATATATATATATATATATATATATATATATATATATATATATATATTGCGGAATTAGAAAAATAATAAAAATTTTAAGAAAATAATAGAGAAATAAAATAAAGAAATTTTTTCTTTCTACAGGGAATAACAAAATAAAAAATTTCTTTTCTTTAACAAGAACTTTAAAAATGAATGGAAAAGGAAATAAGCTGTTGAAATGTTCAGGAGGATAATCCAAGATGGCGATAGTAACAAAGGAGCCAGGAGCCTTAAATAAAACTAATATGGAAAACATTCTTAAAATTGGATCAATTTCGTGATGAGTAACACTGTATCTCTGGTAATTTTTGCAGAAACGGCTTTTCGAGCAGATGTTAACTTCTCTTCTCTTCCGAGTGAAAGTCCGAAAGCGATCGTGAAAATCGAGCGTGACAAAATCTGTCGATGCGTGTGTGTATAGAGTGTAAAGACTAAGCGCTTAGACGAGACTTATATAGAAAACGAACGAAAGAAAAAGAGACAAAGAAAAAGATGATTCCGTTCTTAGGAATCTTAATGACCTGTGTGTGTGTTCTCACGTTTCTGTTTCTCGTTGGCTAACGAGGAACGATTGCTACCCTAGAGCACAGCTAGAACGCCACCTAGAGCGTAACGAAATCACACACAGAGTCACAGAAAAAGAAAATTGGAAGCTACTCTACACACTACAATAAAAGCTCTACTACATAAGTATTGAAAAAAAGTGGCGCGCGAAATTTTTGAGGTCTCGCCCATGATGTTGTTTTTCGCTTTCTCTTTTCTTCAGCAGTTACCCTGAGGGCATCAACGGCGGATACTATGCTGGGGCGCTGCCGGTACAACAGACGGCGCATTCGACGACTCCTCACGATACTGCGCCCCCACCCCCGGTTCCCGGTGCCGGCGGTGGGCACTCCGTCGTCGGCGGCGGTGGCGGTGGT